AAAATCATCTCGAAGACCGCGGAATTTGAAAATTTAGAGTTTTGGTGGTGTTCTCTGCCAGCTTGTGACCCCGCAATCTCCTGGGCTCCTAAAGCTGGAAAGCTGAAATTTTAACGTGGCATCCCCTGTCCACGTACGAATTCGCAAATTTCCAACGTCCCCGTGGAAGTTTTGGCGGAAAAAAAACTGTCTCTGGAGCCAGAAGAGTAAAAGGGCTGAAAATTTCGGAGAGTGTTTTTTTGCCTAAGCAGAAGCTTCACAAGCTCGAATTCAGTTCTTAAATATGCCGAGCTCTCACGTACGAAGAGGTAAAAGTTTTGTAAAAATCACTCGAGAGCCAGAAAACTAGAAGACTGAAATTGTGTAAAGATATTCACCCTTCGAGGTTTCAAATTCAGCTTTCTCGTACCGGCACGTGAAATTTTTAACAGGAAATTCCTCAACTTAGGAAATAGACAACACTTCTATTATTTTTGCGCAAATCAAAGTGGAGAGCAGTAAAAATCATTGGCAGGCAATCGTTCGGTGAACAGGATCGCACAAAACGCATAGTCGGAACTCGGTGCGCGCCGCTATTTGTTTTATTCTTTCTTCGGTGACTTGTAAGTTTCGTCAAATTCTCAATGAATTTGAGCTTTTTTGTCTTTTTTATCCGAACATGAACTGAGTGAATTTAGGCGGTCCTGCAGATGAATGCGAGTGAATCGTACGATTGCCAGTTTCCGTGCACAAGTACAGCAACATTCTTCCCACCAATTTCTTCCATTACGCAAAGCTTTTCTTCCGGGAAATCAGATATCGACTTGCTTCAGGTGATCGCTTCCTGTTTTTTGTATTTTCATGCTTTAATCTGTCTGTTTTCTAATTTTTCTTTTCATGATGACTTGTTCGGCAATTATATTGGCTAGAATTTTTCTTTGACTATCGAGGTGGTATCTAATAAAACCATAATAACAGTAGTAATTTCTAGGAGGATAACATTTTATTGCATATTTATTAGTCGAAATAGTTTCATTAGTCCTAACTGGTATTCAAAATGAAGGAGTAAAATTTGCACTTTATTCGCTCAAAAACCAGTAACCGGCGTTAAAAATATGTCAGTGATTTTTGTCTTCTGATTACAGGAAATGACACAGCACGTTGACTTGAATCCTCCCGTGGTGCAGCACCAGCAGCAGCAACAGCAACAGCAGCATTATCATCAGCAACAACAGCAGCAGCACCATGCTACTACTGATAAGAGAGTGCAAATGACACATGGAGGTGGTTATTTGCAATCGCACAACATCACACCCCCGCCACCAACACAGCATCAATACCATCAGGACGGTGTTGCTGCTGGTGCTGCTGCTAGCACGGTGCATGTGCAGAATCCAACAGCCAACTGTGCTCCAGTTATGCCGAATAATTGTTATCAAGCTCAAGTGCAGGTTTGTCTTCGAACATTCCCACTGCCGAAGATTTTCAACATTTTCTGTTTGTGCGATGAAATATCAACTTGCAAAACGTCGCTGAAGAAATTTTTTGTGAAAACAGCAAGCAATGCGCAAACTGTGACCGGTATTAGCCCTGGAGCACTCCCTGTGTGGAAACATGATGAATATCTGTCATGGATTGGTCCTAATGAGCTAAGCTGATATCCGTTTTGATGAGCTGATATTCGTTTTCATCGTCACTTTTTTTTTCGCTATTGGTACAGCTGAAACTGTCGTTGTTTGCTATTCTGGGCCTTTCTCAAACACATAATTTCATGTAGTTGCTGTTCAGGCGGGCCCGTCCTCCGCATCGGCGACCTTTCTTTTTCTTTTAACATGGCTTGGTAACCTTTTAGTAACCTGTTTTATGTATATTTGAGGCGCTCGACGATGAATTTTAATGCGCTTAGCTGTGAATTTTTAACCTGAAAACTGCTGCATGACTAAAAAAGATGGTTCCTGTAAGATGGACGGAAAATGTAATTCCAGTTTGTGTTGAATGACAGAGCTTTTGCCGTTCATGATCAGCTTGTATTAAAATGTAAAGTAGAGACTGGCCTCTAAAAATGTATTAACCTGCTTTTAGAAAACACTTGTAAATGGTGTTTTCAGATGGATATGAGCGGCAGAATAGTTTATCGCTATCAAAACAACTATAACAGTATGAGCGAATGTTCAGCTACGCCGGATAGTGGAATACAGAGCAGCGCCGATTCGCCTCCTGCCGATCCGTTCACTCCACCGATGCCCTCGCCCACACCATATATTCCACCTCCTCCGGTTAGTTTTTTGAATTCCAGAAGAAATTTGCTAGAGATTGTTAGGCTTAAAAATTGAGTTAGGTTCTGGAAAAAATAATTGTAAAAGAAAGTGAAGGTTTTTAGGAAGATATTTTTTTCAGGCTGTGAGACCGGTGACTGGCAATGGACAACCCGCGGTAGCTTCAAGCTCTGCCGACGACTTTTCTGATATGCCCCGTTTGGTACCGTTTCATCAAATGGAAGAAGCAAGTTCACCGGTAGCTGAAGAAGAAGAGCCTCCACCATTTATGATGAAAGCAACCTCAGAGCCGTCAGTGACTGCGCAGGCGGAAGTCGCTGCATCAGCAGCACTTACAGCTGAGGCTGAACCGCAGCAGCAGCAACAGAATTACCGCGAAGCAGCAGAAGCAGCAGCAGTTAATCAGCAAAAGCCAAAAAGAGGGGAGGGTGATGATAACGTGCCCAAGATAGCTATAACTCCGGCAATGAATGTGTCCGAATTGGTGGAACAACTAATGTCTCATATGGATGCGGAACAGCGCAAGCAGTTCGCCAGTGCCATACAATCAAAAGTTGCCGTTGAAGATGCTGCTTCGGGGAATTCTTGCGATACTGTTGCAGCTGAAGACACTGCTAGCACCATTACGAGTGCGGCCACTGCCACAGATACTATTAATTCCATGGCTGCGTCTTCAGTCGCTGACGATGATACGGCTGTTGTTGAAACTCTGAACAGCTACTCAGAATACGATGAGGAAGCAGCAGTGGAAGCGTTTTTAAAGGAGCTGGAAAGCAGTGATGTTGTGGAAGCATCAGAGCGGTGCAATGAGGAATCTGAGGAAAACAAAGGGGTGGAGTTGAAGGAGCAAATTGTGGAGAAGAAAAAACGAAGGAAACGTAAAATGCGAGATCGAAGCGAATCGGAAGAAGCTGCCCGGAAATCCAAGAAACGTTTCGTTGAACAGAGTTCGATTGATGTTACCACGCAATGTTTAGCAGGAGAAGACGATAATGTTTCAAATTTGATGTCTCCGCTTTCGTCATCCAGCATTGGTTTATCAGCTGATAAGCGAGTCGTGGAAAAGCACTGTGAGGAGCAAGTAGAATCCAAAGAGCAAACAGTTTTTATGGCTAAAAATAATTCCCCCGCAGAAAGAATGTTGCATGGAAATGAAGAAATCACTGACGAGATGAAGGATGAACAACAAATTGATTTGAAAAAAGCGGCGGTTAAAGAACCAGCAAAACCGGAGCCGCACTGTTTGGAATATGTGCGTCAGAGGCATCAGGAAGTAAGACGCAAAATAGACGAACAGTTTACGATCATCATCGATCGAATCGTGAAGCAGTTTGCTGGCCTTCGGCTTATGACTGGTACTCGGATGTCTCGGGGATTGCCGTGGTATCGATTGGATTGGAAAGAAATTACACAAAGGTTTGTTTTAATATTTTTCCCGCATGAAGATATAATTCTTTACTAGAAAAACTTGTGTGCCACATCTCAAGGATTAGGTATTTATGTTAAAAGGCGTGCAGATTACAGGAAGAAGAGCCTGAATAATTCCTTTTGAAGTATGGTTAAATTCCAGTAGGCAAAAGAGCACCGCATTTATTACCCAGATGATTTGGAATGTCTGAGAGACTTAACAGGCGATATTCCAGCTTGCTTGCTTCTTTAGTGGCAGTATTTGGTACTTTCGGCCAGCGTAAATGAAGGATTTGCAAAAGTTGAGGGTGGGAACCTCCCCACAGCTCACCAAGTACTGCAGTTCACTATCAACTGGATTAAAAATTTTACTATTTGGAAGTGCAGTTTTCACACAAGTCTTCTTTCAAGGCTCAATAAGCAGGATGATTTTGAAAAGTCCACCAAAAAGAAGCCGGTGCCGAGCAAGCGACGTATTGGCGGGGCTCGTAGGTGGCGTAAAAGTGGCACATCCAGGAAGAGCGAGTTCTTTGTTGCAAGGTTTTTTTTTTTAGAATCGCTCTTTTAACTAACTTATTGCTTTGTTCTTTTGTTTTGAGGGGATGGGCGATTTTGTGTAGCATTCTGTGAATTTTCAATCATTTTCAGTGCCACACCGTCAACGTCAAAAACAGCGTGTGAGAAGATCCAACACTCATCCAGTGATTACATCAAAATAAAACAAAGTTTGTCTTGTTTTTAATATGTATTTTTTTTCAATTCAAAATTCACATGCGAATCTGAACTGGTTTTTCAAGCTGTATTTAAAATGCTAATTCCCTCTGGTTCATTTTGTGTGAGAGAGGAGGAGCTCGATTGCTGGAGTGATAGTGCGTTCAACCTGCTGGCCGGGTTCTCAGTAGTTTTTTCTTCAGAGAGTTGTTTAGAAGGAAGCTGATGGCGATTTTGCTTAACGTGAGCTTGCATTAAGTTACCGCTAAAATTATCAAGGGCTTAGTTGTACTGCTGGCGAAGTTGAGTCATGAATCTTCAGCGTGAAAGTATCGTTATTTGCTAAAACGCCATACTCGCCAACAAATGGTTTTTACGGTGTTGTGTTTAAAAAAGAGGGCCTTTTTGATTTGAACGGGTTGAAAATGCATTAGAGTGATACATAGAATTATCAAAAACTGTTATTTGATGATGGACTCTCCGAATACCTCATATTGCAGATATAATCGTTGATGCATATGCGAAGATTGAGCAGATGCAGTGCTCGTGTTCTTCGGGATGCTGTGGCGAACGCGATGAATGCTTGAACCGGTCGGTTTCCTATCTTTATCACACAAAGTGCTTTTCCTATGATTTCATTTTTTCTGTTTTTTTAGTTTTCTAAAAATTTTTTTTCCATTTATTAGGATAGTGATTTCAAAATTTTATTGCGTTTTCACTGTGATATTTTAATAGCGCTTTTTTTTTTGAAGTTTTGCGATGTTTAGAGTGGTACTGATGGAATGCGACAACAGTTGTCCGCGAAACTCACATTGCACCAACAAGCGAATGTCTCGACGCGAATGTGTGGATGGGTTGAAAGCATTCGAAACAACCAACGGATGTGGTCTGGGCGTCAAAACTGTTGTGGACATCAATCCTGGACAGGTCAGCTTTGTGCTTCTAGTACAGAAATTCGCTAATCCTTCCTAAAATTTTTGACAAATTTTGTTGCAGTTAATTCTAAAATTCCACTTCAGTAGTTCTGTGCCGCCCTGCCTAGAAATTATAAATTGGGAGAATATTTTAATACTCCCTTCGGCCTCCTTGATTGGTTTCGATGCATCCGCCGGTTTAAAAGTTGTTTCTCGCATGACAGGAAATTCATCTAACACAAATATCATAGATCGGCGATGGCTGTCTGACGGGTGTAGCTGTGACAGTTGATGAGCAACACGTTATGACAGTGTGTTTTTCCGAAGCTGTCGTACATATAACTTATCGTTTTACATTGACGTCCTTCGTATTCTCTCCCTTTCTGTCTTAGAATTAAGCGAGTTAACCGCAAAAATGGAATGGTTAACTGGAATGGTTTTTTCCCGTTTCATAACTACTGGTTTCTTTGGTCCAGAGACGAAAATTTTTGCTGATTTAAAAAAGAAGGAAATTTATGGGGCATCATTTTGTTTAGTGGTCTTGTGTGTCATTGCAGCTGGCAAATTTCCCATTTTTGTTGATGATCGAGCTTTTTAGCTTTTCCCGTTTTTGAGAATAGTACTACAGATGTGAACAGAAAAAGCGCAGAATGACTGAGCTTCCTTTGATATTTTTGTCGCCAGTTAAGAAAAAGGATTATAGCCAGACACATTTCCTCCGACTTCTAAAAGTTCTCAAAGCGGCGTCTTCGAGCGCGAGCAGTGGGGCTTGAAATATTTTGATTTACTGCGGTTGATGTAAAAACGATAGTTCTGTACTTATGAAAATCAGTACCACACTTTCCTGCTTAGAGCAAAATGAAATTTTTTTTAGAGCCGTGATAATTTGGTAGATCCTATAAGAAAATTACGCCTTTTACCACAAGAACCACGCACAAAGCACAGGAAAACCAGATTATTTGATCAGTTTTTTTTTTCGAACTTTCCACAGCAATCGTTTTCTTTTCAGTTTGTCTGTGAATATGTGGGTGAGGTTGTCTCACTGGAAACATTCAATTCGCGCAGCCGGGACGCCGACTATCGCTCTCAGAGGAACCATTATGCGCTGAATCTGTGCCCGGGTTTTGTTGTTGATGCCTACCGTAAAGGAAACATTGCACGCTTCATTAATCATTCATGTGCTCCAAACTGTGAAATGCAACGATGGTTAGTGCATTTGAACATTTCTGGAATTTTTATAAATTTAATTTTATGAGTTTCTGGTATCAGTTTCTGTGCAAACCGCGAAAGGGGAAACCATCGACAACCTCACTAGCGAATGGTTGTTATTTGTGTGTCCAGCCTCTGGGCTACTTCCGAGTACCTCCGCCTTTCACAAAAAGGGGATTTTGATTTTTAACTTGAGCTAATGATAGAGAAGCAGATTTGGATTGTTGCTTTTTGTTGACACTTCTTTTTGGGCCAGTGGTACTTTGGTATCTTAGAAAGCTGTTACTGCATCGTTTTATTCGTTCCCTCAATCAGTGAAACACGAACTTTTGCATTTTTTTGATCTGAGCTCGACCTTATCCAGATGTTCTGACAAATCCTCCCAGTGGTTGCTTTTCCGGCGTTTATTTGACGCCCTGTGGGTACCAGTTAACAGTCTTTCGTACGTCTGATAGCTCATTCAGGGGACTCAGTACGTTCAAGTCTCTTGTCTGCGCCTACTGTACATCCAGTTTACATTCTTATAATTTCTTGAGAATTGTTACATTTTAAGATGTAGAAAAGAGATTCATTCTGACTAGTCCACCTTAAGGTAGGCTATTGTCCTCATCGTATCCGCACAAAGAGAAAATGAATTGGATTTATAAAGAAAAGTGATTTTAGGTCGGTGAATGGCCAGTACCGTATTGGTTTATTCGCATTACGTGCAATCAAAGGAGGCGAGGAGTTAACGTACGATTATAACTGGGATGCATTTGAGTTTGACGATGTTACGATTTGTCGTTGTGGCGCGCCAAATTGCCGTCGATTCCTTAACAAAAATGTGGTAATGAGCAGCCGAGAGAAAGAAATTGCGCGTGATGCGCGGTTACTGCTACTGCGAAATGTTCGAAAGTCAGCAGCACTCAAACTGGAGAAGTTCACACAAGGTATATTTCTTTTAGCTAAATATCAACCTCTTTTTTTTTTCAGTTGAATTCGCCAGCAAAGCTTCTAGACGCAGTTTTTTTTTTTTTTTTTTTGTTATAAATTTTAACACAAATTCGCAGTGTAACGTCTGTGTTGTGAGAATTAATATTGGGTTACTGTGCCTAGTAGTCGAGATGTTTTCGAAATCACATATTTGGGCAGTTTCGGGTAGTTTGTCGATGCTGATAACTATCCCAAAAATACTAAAATCACCCGCGGGGGGGAGGGGGTGGTCATGTTGAGGCCTCGTGTTAGTGATTTTTGCTAGGATTCTTTCACACACAGAGTGGAACTTTGAGGGTTTCTTCAGTCTTCAGTTGCATACTTTCACCAGCAGTCGCCTGCTCGAATTATCTGCTGTAACCTCATCGGAGGTTGCTCGGGTGGTCGTTTACTTTGTAGCATCTATCACTGGCGGGCGGAGGACAATAGCTGATAATTACACAGTTTCAAGTAATAGAATGCAAAATTTGTGAAGCAGATGGAGTAACTGGTTCTGAATGCTAACACTAAAATAAGTGCACTTGCAGTAACTGTATTTCACTAGGAGTTTTTTCAGGATCTCGATCGCGATCCCGGGCATCGAATTCTGTAACACCGAAGTTCGTAACAGATAAAGATGCCTTATTCCAAGAAATTCTATCGAAATTTGAGGATTCAAAAGTAGCATCAAAGAAACTTCTCAAAATGCTCGCCGATCATGTCACCGAACTTCGTCAGCAGACTTCTCCAGCACCAGGGATTTCGGAAATAATAGATTCGATCGAGGTGAAAGTGAATACGCTACTTGCCAAATCTACGAGACCTCTTGACAAGAGGAAATTGGATGTGTGGCGCACCAGCTTTGGATTCATCAAAACAAGCTGTTTGGGGCAGAGCAGTGCACAGGGACGGCTGGAGCAGCATACTCCAAAGAGAGGCAAGACCGGCCCACATCGAATGCTGGCAGCCGAGATCGACTATAAATACCTCGACTCGAATGTAAGTTTCATTTCTGCTTATAATTATGTTGTTGGGATTGATGTATTTCCCCATATTTAATGCAAATTTCATGATTTATAATTGCATTAAGAAAAGTATCATTTTTTATCTGTTTGATTGATTCTTTCTACATTTTCGGACGTACTATTTTAGACATAGGAAGTTTTCGGCCTTATTAAATTTGCAATGTAATGTAATTTAAGATCCCGGTTGGTTCCTATGATCAAGACCGACTACCGCACATCAAAGCACCGTCAAATACGGACTGTGTTCGTTGCATCTGTGGCACCACAGATGATGATGGGACGATGATACAGTGCGAAAACTGCAATTTTTGGCTGCACGAGGAATGTGTATTTGATGTAAAACGCACTGGTGAAGTCAAGGTTTGTCCTTTTTTTTGGTGTTTGGAGTCATTAACCTCCGGTTTCTTACAAAATCTAAAATAAAGTAAAATTTTGGAAAATAATGAGATTGGTTTCTGTGGGAAAGCTCCCATTTTCTGAAAAAGTGCAACAGAGTTTGGGTTAGATTTTAATAATTTATTAAAATCGAATAATATATATCTTACATTATACTGTCAGCCGTTCTGGCAGTGTAAGCATTTTTATATTGACTTTAACTTGCTGCAGTTCATAGCGTGGTTCAGTTGTGCAGCTAGCCTCAGTTGCTTTGACCAGTGCGGCATTACCTTTTGGTCATTTTGTTGGCGGTTTTGACGTACATTTAGTTCCCTGAGATAGTTATCAGTTCAGCGTTTTTCCCGGCAAAAGTACTCGGCATTACATTATGGTGGTATTGTGCTGTGCTGAAAGGAATTATTTTTAAAGCAGAGGATTTGCAGAACTTCGTATGTACAATGTGCGCTGAAAATGCTAGCCGAACGCCACCAGTATCGGTACCTTTACGTGTACAACCGGATTATAATTTCAAAAACTGTACTTATTATCGGACGCTGGTCAACTCGCGTAATTTGCAAGTTCGCCTCAGCGAAACTGTCTATGTGCAGAAACTGGAGAATGATAATGTAAGTTAATCTTCAAATGCTCTAGCAGTTTTTATTTCTACGCATTTCCTTGCTTTTTTGCCTTTTTGGCAAGGGCTGATGTTAGAGAAAGGCGGAATATTGGTTTGAGAAAACAAATTTTCAAACTGTTTTAATTTCAGCACAAACTGATCTTGCGAAGATTGGAGGAATGCACGAAAAAGAATTCACAGCCGGCTGTATTGCCCATGAAACGAGTACTGGATGAAACTGAGAAGCAATTCCGCCCCGGATCATTTCATCGGAAAAATGTTCGCTGCTTGCGAATCGAACGATTATTCTCGTTTGAAGGGCATAATTTCGTTTTTGGTTTTTATTATGCTCGACCTCATGAAGTTTATTGCGAGCCGGGCAAACTATTCCACGAGAAAGAAGTAACTATTTCATTCACTCATATTCTATACTTTCTATATGACAAATTTTATACATTTTTAGAAAGGTAAAAGTTTTTGCAGTTAATGATAAAAGTTCGGATTTGGTTTTTTTTTTGCAGTAGGATTTAGAATCATGAAGTTTTTTTAGTATGTTAGTATGTTAGGGAAAATCGAGAAGATAAAAGAGGATGGGGATCGGTTAAACCCTGCAATAGTTAGCCTAGAAGTTCCATCAGGTGCAAGTAGAATTTAATGAATTCCATTATTCTGGAACTTTCTCGGATACCGTTACCGTGTCAGTACTGAACCTTCAGTACCATAAACTAAATCCTCAGTTACTGGAGCCTAATGCACACCGTTGTGAGGTTACTTTTGGCCAAAAATTGTATAAATCATATTTGACTAAAAAAAATTTAAAATAAACTGGAGTCCTGACATGTTTTTTGACATATTTTGCGTAACCTGTGTCACTACGTTATCATCGTTTGATAGCGTGAAGATTTGCGTCTCTCTGCATTGTGGCCTTGTACTAAAACATGCCATGCTGAGCGAATTTTCATTGTTGCTCTGTTTTGGATTTATATCTGGGGAGTGCTGTACACAGCGCATAAATCAAGCACTTTTTAAGAAGTGATATTTCTACTACAGTTGCCTTGACGAAATAATTCGGCCGAATTCTCCAGATGATATGCTCGTTTGGCAACTTCCCAAATTCCCCTGCCCAGTGTTGCAACACTTGGTTGCTAGAATTTTGGAATCCCGATATTCATTTCGCCCCCCTCCCCGTCCTCCCCCTTCCCTGGGCTGATTTGCCAACTTGGCAATTTCCCCGACAGAAGCGTTTAACAAGGCTTTCGCTTTTGTTTCAACATCTGTTGAACATCATTGCCTGGTCAGTTCAAGTTATTCCAAATACAATTCTTTTTCCAGCTTTTTGCAACAAATATGTATGATACGCTACCACTGGACGCTGTTGTTGGACGTTGTTTAGCACTGGAGCCAAGC